GAATCTGGATATTCTTTTAATTAAATCGAATTGAATAAAATATTTACCCAATCAAGATCAAATTCATCAAATTGATATTTTTCTAAAAACTTAATTGTTGTTTTAATAAAATTTGTTCGTTGTGTTTGATTGTGAACCATATTAGAAAAAGAATAACTTCCATGATTCGATCCACCAAGTCCAAGTAAAATTTTTAATTTATTTGATTTACGTAAATTGATTATTCTTTGATACATACCTATTGATCATGGACTACTTTCATCATTCCATTCATATGGGCTTATATGATCATTATCAAGTTTTGTAAATGCATCTATTATATGAGTACAAAGATTTATATCAACATTTTCAGGATAAAAACGAGCTGATCCATCACGATATTGAGACCAATTTGTATAATAACAAATAATAAGAGGTTCTAATAAATAAAAATATTTTGAATTATAGACAAAAAAATAATTTAAAACAAACCATTCGTTTTTGAATTTGTTTCATTTTGAAATATTTTAGTATGAAGATTTTCTTGATAATATGATATTTGTTTTGAAATATTTGTTGAATTATTTTCTCGTGATAAATTGCATAAAGTTTTATTGAAATCGGTTTTAATGCAATATTTATTATTCAAATATTGAAATTTGATTGAACAATTTTTCTCCTCAACCTTAAAATAAAAAATCAATTAAATATATGATTTAATTGTTTATTCTGTTAAAGTTAAAATAAAAATACATATTCAATTGTTGAAATAATAGAATTGATAATAAGAGAAAGATTTTCTCTTGTATTATTTCTAATTAGATTTGTTTTTTCAAAGTTAAATTCATTCTTGAAAAATTGATTTGTTAAATTTTGATGAATAAAATTTATTTGATTAGATTTTTTATCGATTAAATCATCATTTGTTTTATTGTTAATGTATTCATCTAATATAATTAGAATTTTTTCAAATAAAATATTTTATTGTTGATGATCTTATTTCATTTTCTATTAAAAAAAAACAAACAAAGAAAAATAATTAAAATAAAATGTATTTTGAATTTTTCTTTTTTATTTACACGTAAAACATCGTGAAAATCAATTGAAATATTTTTCGTTTCAATATCAATAGTTTCGTTGGTTTGTCTTGAAGAGTTAACATTTTTTTTATAATGTGAATATAGAATTAAATCCGAATAAAGACTATTGACTTTTCTTTTAATAATTTGTTTATAAGATTGATATTGACCATTTATTGAAATATTGACTAATAAGAATAATGTTAAGCTAAAAAGACAATTATTTTATTTTATATAATTAATTAATAAAAATTGTTTTTATTTACATGTGAGAAACTTTTTCAAACATTTAAATGGAATATTTCATCAATGTTTTCGTTAAATTCTAATAGTTTATTTCATTAAAAACAAAATAAAAGTCGGTTCAATCAGAGTAACGTGTATATAAAGCTTGTCATTGATGTCTTTTTTCGTATATATCTCTTTAATAAATCAATGTTGAGATCGTTGCAAAGATAAAATCATTGAGAATGCTATTAGACCAGATTTGAATAGAAACGAAAAGTAAATCAAGTGTATCGTCGATCTATTGAAATAGGTCATGAACAAAGGACAAATCCATCGTTATTCTTACTATTCACCAGAGACAAGTCAAGGTTTTGAACGTATTTGACAATTTTTGTCAATGTCTCGATGTATTGACAAGTTTAACAACGTATATATGAAAACCTTTCACAGACAAAATCTATTTTACTCTATAAAATTACTCACAATTATAATCGCCTATGTCGATAAACTTCTCGACATTTCTATGAATATCTATAAATATAATATATATTTATTATGTCGTCAACAAATATATAAGATGATTAGTAATTTATTTAATTGTCTTTATGAATATATATTTATTCTCATGTAAAAATTTCTATTAATTGTTTTAATTAGAAAAAAATTTCAACTCTAAATATATTTTATTAAATATGATAAAAAACGAATAAATAATTTAATTAAATATTGATTATATATATAAGGCAAAGACAAATTCATCTTGAAATAAAATATAAAATCAACAACTTTTAGATATTTGACTATTGATTGTGCACAATTATAAAATTGAATAAATAATTATTGATAAATACTGAAAATATTCGTATTAATGATTATTTTCTTAATGATAATATTTATTTTTAAATCAAAACCAGATGATTAACACGCTATTTATCCTTTATTTGATTATTTATATAAAATTAATATTGTTTATTAGGATTTTATTGTTATCAATTAATCCGAATAGAATATTATAAATAAATAATATATTGATTATGTTTGAAATCCTTGAAAAAATAAATATGATACTATACAATTAATTTATGATCCTTAAAAGGATATTGTTTTTTTTATCTCAGCTATTAATTATTAAAATAAAACAATATTAAGTATAATTAATTCTACAAATAATTTTATTTAACATAGATTTGATTGAATTCTTAATTTCACATATTCAAATAAACTAAAAAGATTTAACACAAATTTTAGAAATAAATACAAATAATGCAAGTTTTAAATAAATTCTATATGAAATATATCGATATAAAGCAAATGATATATCAATTTATTGTCCTATTTGTAGAAAATATTTTAAAATTATGTTTGAAAATGATCATTTTTATATATGTTGCTGTTAATCATAATAATAATAATAATGATTGAATTAGTTGGAGAGTCCCATTAAATATTTTTCTTGTTGATATTAGTTTTTATTGTAAAATATTTAATATGTATTCGACATATAGAAATAAAACAAGAGATGATACGATTTGACAACTTGTAATTGTAAATCGACTATGAGAAAGTATTATAAAACTTGTTTGAACTATTTCTAATCAAATAAATATATTAGTTATTATATTATCATCATTTGATATAACTAATTCATTCTATTACATATCAAATGTAATGGGTATGAATTTTTATCGTCTAATATCTTATCTTTATGTAAATACATAACTTACACAAAGGCTATTTATTTATTATTAAGCAATTACAACTTCTATGCATGATTTATTCAACAATTTGTTCAATAAAATAAGATTTTCGTTTTTTCTTTAGAATTTTTTTTTCTATTTAATTTAAACAAAAAAAATATTCTTTCAATAATTAATATTTCATTTCATTTGAAATTAAAACTATAAAAAAAAGCAAAAGTCAATTTCAAATGGATAAAATCATTTTTCATATAAATATATATATACATATAAGATTTGAATTCTTTTCAAAAAACGAAAACAAACTCAATGTCATTTTGTGTTCTTTTAAACAGGCATTTATTTCTATCATAAGAAATGAGATAAATTTTCATTGACTTAATCGATATTTTTTAAATAGCATTTACATAAAGAAGATTTTTGTCGAAAAGGGTATGGGTATAGGAATGGATACGTGTGCGCAGATGGAAAAAAGTCACATTTACACTAGAATCCTCCGAAACAGTTCTGAATCCAGAAAAATCTCGTAGAGTCCGTCACACATGACAATCTGGATTGACCGGAAAATTTCCGAAATCGGTCAAACCCGATTCGAGGCACGAGAAAACTTGTCCTGTAGGACTCTAATTCATACGCTCATGAACATTTTTTAAACTCATTGTGTAAACGTCTACAACAAAAAATATTAAAATATGAAAATGAATATTTATTTCTTATGGTAGAAATAAATTTTGTATATATTCGTGCATTATCTCGAGTAGAGATCAATATATTTCTATTTCACTGATTTTTGTGTATATCATAGAAAAAAATATAGGGCACGAACATACGTTATAAAAATATATAGAATCCGACAAATTTTTAAATACAATTCGAGCCCGACCTCGGATCAGATCGAATGCAGGACTCTGCACATCATCCACACAGGCAATATAAGTTTTTCAAAAGATGACGCGCATTTCATCAGTACTTTTTTTTGAAAGTTCAACATAATTGTTGCATTTACTGGAATATTTCTGCGATGAACAGCTAAAACATTTCTGTATATTTAAGAAAATGTTCTTCTCTAGCGGTCCTCGTCTATCAAAAATAACATCATTATTAACTATTTTTTCTAAGATTAATCCAATTCCTACGGAACCTTTTCAATCAACAGTTTTGTTAACAATATCTCTTCAGCAACTGAAGCTGATTCATCGTCACATATAAAACAGTATTTATCCGAAAGGATCAAAGAAGTAGTTCTTTTTTTCTCTTTATTTTCTATAGGTCATCGCATATCGGTAGTTTTGTTTTGTTTAAAAAATTGCTTAGTTTGTAAATGTTTTGACGATATGAAAAAAAGAATTTCGACAAAAATATGTAGCAGTATATACAGTCAATCTTCCTAATAAGAACAGTTTTTTCGGAGGTGTGAACAATTCCTTTTTTACTAAGTAAGTAATACCCAGATCTCCCGGTTTAGGGTGAGACAGAGTAATATTACTAATAGAACAAAACCTAGAAAATTGAGCTGAGCATATTAAAGTATGCAAGAAGAGAAAAAAGAAAAGATAACTAAGAAAGAAGTTAGCAAAAAAGGGTGGGTGTGGGTGTGATTCTGCATATGAGTGGTGACATTAGTATCACAGCCGCTCCACACATCTGCATCACAGCCACACCCACATAATAGGGCAAGAACAAAGACCAGTACCAGTAGAGAAACTCTCGATCAACTTTTGCTCTATTTAGTCATTACCTTTTAATATATCTACTGCATGTCTAATAAAAGTAAAGTGTTATATTATTTCAGAAGAAAATCGGAAGTTCAGTGACAAGAAATATGTAGTACATGTTATGATACAACTACAAATTCAGATATCGTGAATATAAACGAAACAGAATTATACATGAAATGGGTGATGTGAAAGAAGCGTCTCGTGTTTGAGAAGGCTTAAAACATATGTTCGAATTGCAATAGCTGAAGAAAGATTATCCAGTTTATCTTTAATAAATATTGAACGTTGCTTTAACAATGACTTATATACTATTATGAATGAATTTATATCGAAAGACAACGAAAGAAAAAAAGTTATTTTGAAAATAAACAAATTAACTGTACATAAATAGGTTTTGAATTATAAAGCTTATTTATATTGATCGGTAAAAGAAAATTGTTGCTTGTCCTGGAAACTTTAGTTTACGCCACCCATGTCTGTCAATGATGAAATTGACGTTGAGTAATACTAAAAGTTTTTAAAAACAATCAATATTCGTTCTATGTTACTCTTTCTTGTGCTATTTTTTTCTATTCGATATCAATAAGTGAGATAAAATAGCCAAGAATGATGATGACCATGCGAAAGCGGCTGGTTTTATTTATTTCCATGATAGCCATAAATCA